TACCAACTTTTGACCATGGAAGTTTGTCATCAGAACAACCACGTGGAAATCCATTGTAGCCTATGCCTGTTTATAGGTAGATAATATACATGTCAAGATACGATTAAACATGTATAGCAAAACTGAAACCTATTAAACCATCAAGAGATAATGCATTTCTTACCAAGTATTATACCATCTTGACTCACCAAGCATGCTCCAACCTGTAATGAAAAATAATGCAAAATTAGCAGATGCAAACCCTGAAGCAAATGTTTGAAATTATAATCATTCAAACAAATTCTTTCATATAAAGACAAGAGAGAAGGTTCATCTTGCAGGCAGGATAACTAATAAAAGATAGGAAACTCAAAGCACCAAATATGAAAACTACAAGGCGTTACAATTTGCTAATTGCTATAGGAGTTTTGGTATCCACTTTGCTCAACTCAGACATAATTCCTTCCACTCCAAAAATAAATTTCATATTGAGCAGCTAGATTAAACTAAAAAGGTAATCAACTGAAGACAACTGGAGTTACAAATTCAAATTGTTTGTCTAACTGTAATTGTGTACACGGTAGGCTGAATTTAAACGATGAAAAGTGAATCGTGAGCAATAGAGAAATTAACTAGAAATAGTGCAAAAAATCGACCTGCCTGTAGGGATCCTTGGATCTCTCAGCTGACAGAAATGCGATGGCCATAAAATAGTCATCCCATGATAAGTATCTGCATTAAAATTGTTACATTTTCCTGTTAACAATCTGCCATACTTCGAATATCCCGGTAAGAAGTAGATTTATGAACATGGCTCTTATGAACAGTCAATTAGATAGAACGCTATTGGGGATAAAAACTAAATAAAAAGTGTCTCGGAACTAAGTATCTTTACCCGCTGCGTTTGGAGGGATTGTAAGGATCGGTAGATGATGAATTGCTCTGTAGCACGACTTCTGAAGCAGCGTTGTCGGCGGACAACTTCTTCCTAGGGTTTACAAAGAAACGAATTGCGAATGCGGTGGCGACGGCACCGGCTATAGTGGCAGTAGAGATCATAGTCAGGGCTCTCGAATTCATGGCTGTAGTTCGAAAAGGTTGTAACGATGACGAAGAATTTCACCAATATATTGCATGCTCCTTAAGAACTTTTACCGCCAAAACAGAAGGATAGGTACGAGACAGCGGGAAAATAATTTGTGATATCAGGTGTCGTCGTGTTGGGAATTGGGATAATGGGGCCTAATCCACCTATTATCATGTATTTGGGCCTATTTGGGCTGCTCTACGGTTTATTGGATCATTTCAGGGGCAAGCTAATGCTGTCAGCCCCTAGTCGTTTTTATCGGACCCGACCCGGTTTTGAAACATTGGTTGGGTTTCTTTTCCCAATGACTCAACGAGAGTGAATCAGTCGAAATCGGTCGAAACTGATATTTTGCCTAAAGAAACTGTTTAACCGGAGAAGAATAGATTTAAAGAAAAAAAACAATTTTATTTTTTAGACTTATGAAAAAAAGAGTCTACAGTTATATAACTCTAACCAAATATATATTTATATTGCATATCATTATAAATGCAGAAAAACATTTAACTAAAATGACATCAAATACAGTTAGTAAAAATATTGTATGGTTTTTGAGTAGCGTGGTTGATATCTCGTTGCTATTTCTTTTCCATGTATTATGTGTTCTATTTTTTCAATATTATCTTCGGTTGATATTAGATTTTCGTGTTAGTGTATCATACATCGATACGATACATTTATGTAAGTGTTTTTATATATTGAAATATCCTCTCTTCATAAGAGTTTTTTTGAAGAGTAAATTAAGGATTCTATATATATTTTATATGGCATTAGATGCGACCTTCGTCGCGGTGGATGGACACAATCCTGTAAATATATTTATATTTTGAAATTTGAAATCCGATTTCTTCATATGACTATTTGAGCTCTTTTGGATAATAAACTAAGGGAACTGATTCGTACACAACAAAATTTTTCCATACACAACAATTTGTGCATTAAAATGTTGTATTGTACAACTCCATAAAACATAAATTGTTGTGTATGGAGAAAAATTGTTGTGTACAACTAAGGACTTCATATTTATTTTACATATATATCCATTACACATCATCCATGTAAGCTCCAAGCAAACGTATACTTCGGGGAGATTGAGGGTGAGTTTTATTATTCTCTAGAATCCGAGATTATAATTAATTTCACTTCCATTATGCCAAAATATTTATAATTTTTAAAATTTTAAAATCAAATGTGCTAAAAAAACAGTGTCAATATAATTTTGTAATTTGCTACAATTGGCGATAGATCGTGCTTGTTTACTAACCTCTATAATAACAATATAATAAACAGATGCAATTGTTTTTTGTTAGCATGTTTTATTACGGTTTATTTGTGTACGACACAATCACTTCAAAAACCATCCATGTAATAATGCATTTTCTGTCACACCCCGCTAAAGCGGAAACACGAGGTATGGCAGTATAAAGGGTTTCATAGCAAAAGTTAAAAGACAACATCAACCATAGTATTAAAAATCATTACAATTTTACAATGGGTTTGAACAACTTTTAAAAGAAATTACAATGTAAATTGAAATACAACACATGCGAATGCTCCTAAAAGTGAAGTGTCTCTAAGTGCCACTTACTCGATGATTCCTGAAAAAGCATGTAAAACGAGCGTCAACTATAAAAATAGTTGGTGAGTACTCACAGATAAACAAAATAATATTGGTTCCATGAATTGAAATCAAAGTTTTGATAAAAGTTTCCAATAATAAAAATATATTGTTAAAATGAGTAAATAAGTTTGTAAAAACAAGGTTCTTTGTCATCATGAGAGATAAAATATGTTGTCCAATTAAGATGCAACATTCATATTCTCATGGAAGATAAAGTTCGTTACTCAAACGAGTAAATAAGTTTCATTGCTAAAATGAGCAATCAATTTTGTTGCTACAAGGAGCAAACAATTTCATTGTTGAAACATGTATATAAGTTTTCAGTAATAAAAGTTCGTTGTTGTAATGAGAAACAAAGTTCATTGCTATAATTAATAAACAAGTTTATTGCTATAATAAGTAACGAGTTTGTATGTGTATGAGCAAACAATGAGTCTCAACCAAACCTATGACTGAAGCCCTATCAAGATCTATGCTTATCGTTCCATAGATGAATATGGTATCATGCACTCCAGCAATAGGGCGAGTGAGGAGTTGTCAATTTTCCTAATAGCGCTATCCATAATGACCATTGGCTCAAAGAGTTAATGGTTAGAGATAAGGGAAGGGCCTTAGTACGATAAGTTCTCATGTTCCGTGTTGCATAGACATACATAGAGAGACATAGCAATAAAATAGCAATCATGTTTGATACCAATCAATTTAAATACAACATTCAAATAATAGTTTTCCGGGACATGCTTTTCCACCCCAAAACATAAAAACTGAAAATAGGGGAGTGCGTGAATACTCACAATGCATTGAGATGATGCAAATGATGCCTTGATCTACGCTCCACTCGTACCACTATCGTTTTCCTACAACGATGTTACACACTAATGAGTCTCTAATTGAAATCTAATACTAGTATACTTACTACTACAATAGAATTATGCCAATATTGTGTCAAAATTTAATATTGATAAGTTACAAACATTTTTCTGTGGAAATTAAGTTTCAAAGAATCAATTGTTATATAACAATTTAAGTGGAAGATTTCCATTATTGAAATGTTAATATTTAACATTTTAGAGGTGTTCCAATGATTAAATATTCAAAACGAAATCAATTTAGTTCTAAACTTTCCCAAACTTTGTATTTCATTTTTATTTGAAGTCAAACACCTTAAGATAAATTTTCTTGAATTTTTGAATTTGATTGCTTGAGATAAAAAAAATTATTTGTTGTTCAACTTTTTTTTATAGTTTTATATTTAAATTGCTTTATTTTAAAATAGCTAATGCGTATTTCCATCACAACACATCTTTTTTGTTGACAAAAAAGCATCGTTTATCATAAAACAATATGTTAATCACTTATAATTAATCTGTAAAACAGATAATGATATACATTTGACCATGTAGAGTTAAAACATAATGTATATCAATTTATCATAAGTGAATAAAGTAAATTATCTTCTGCGAAAACATGTTTTTTTAATTATTTATAAAAAAATCTATGAATTTAAAAATAATTTAGGGTGATTTTAAACTCACGAACACAAATTTGAACTCACAATCACCAACCATGATCAGTTTCTTTCACTTTGATTTATCCATAATAAAGGATAAGAACTTGGCATAGAAATAAATAATTATATAGCAACTTTTTTTGGGTAATACCCTATATACTCGAATCTGACCTAATACCCAAATTTCAATACAATTTGGATATCAGTTACTTTTTTTTTTTTAATTTGAAAAACCCAAACCATTTGAATCCAAAAGTTTTACCCGATCCCTCCTCTCAACCCCCAAGTACCAGCCACAAGCCAAATCGTTTACCTCGATTTCACTAAATCATAAATAGAACAACGGATTTTTGCAACGCAACCCAACTAAATTATTTGGAATTGTAGGTCAAACTATGCACTAAAGAAAAAGTCTGTGATTCCAATCAACATTTACACGTTAGAAAGAGGGGGAACAACAATTCCTTCCCTCCAAACAAAGTCTTGGCAAGACAAAAGGCTAACGCCATCCATTTCTTTCAATTATACTCTCTCACTTAACATGTTCTAACCAAAATACCCTTCACATCTTTATCACACGTGCCAACCCCAATGCATACTGCATACTCATTACTTTTGTGATCCCCGAGTTGGTTTTGTAAATTGCATAGAAGGCAAGGGTATTTTTGGAAATGAACTTGTCAAATATGTGTTGTGTAAAGCAAGGGCATTTTGGAAATTGACTTGTGAAAATGTGCTATATAAAGATGTGAAATAGGTCTCCATTTGCCACTTCATTTCTCACAAAAATGAAAGATGATAAAATGGAATTACAACTCCTTCCTACACCACACACAAGAGCCACTTTGTCACGTGTCCCATCATGGTCTTCAAAATCGATAAGATTCCAATCAAACAACATGCAGTGTCCTTCAGATGTTGCAGGTCCTTCACTAGACCTGCAATTATCCAACAGTTTCCAACCAACTGGGTTGGAAATTGTTGGACACATGGGCTCCACGGAAGCACCGAAATTCCAAGCGGATCAAATTCAAATCGCGTCAACAACAGAGAAGGCGCACATAGAGCGTATCAGGGAAATGACTCAACGAGAAATGGAGTTGGCACAAGCAGAGTTGTTGTATGCGAGGAATATGTGGGAGAGAACGCAAAAGGAGGTCGAGAGGGTGGAAAAACTGAAAGCAAAAGCGACACGTTATATCGATTCAACTTGTAAAGAAATTACTTGTCAAGCTTGTAGACAAATATTTCGACCTTAAGTGATTTTAAATATACGAAATCATTAGCAAAAACCCATACTTGTAAGTAATTTAGTATCTACAACTAAGTTATTGATGCGACCTAAGAGGACCTCATAGAGGAGTCTTGATCTCGAGCTTGTAGTTCGGGTGTCAATTGTTTGAGTCGAGTTCGAGTTACTAAGGTATGGGATAACCGTGACACAATTTGGTGGTAATGTCTAGTGGTTGTTGGGTTTATAAGGTTGGAATTAGAATTGTTTCTATATTTAACAACCATACAAATCTAAAAGGAACGTGCGGATAGTCGTTTTTTAACATGTTTTTATATTATAATTTTATAATTAAATAAGACATTTAATTACTAAAAATATGATTGATTTAGTGGTACCTTGTTTCCTATTCTGTAACCATGTTGACTATAAACTTATATGATACACCATTAAATATTGATGGAAAAAAAAGCATGTTTTCAAAGATACAAATTAACTGAAAATGTGTTCTGTTCACATGTAATTTGTCCCTTTTAAAATACATCGAAATTTGGACAAGTGGTTTCTAAGACATGGGTTGAATTTCAAAGTATTCCATTTAAGGTTGCTATAAAATTTCAATTTTTCATCATATGAATAATTTTTCTATAAATGTTAATGTCCTAGCTTGGAGATTGCGGGTGAAACGTATCCTTACACGGGAGAACTTAGTTGACAAGGATATTGATGTTGAATCGACTTTGTGTCCATTATGCAAAGAGTCTATTGAGATAGTAGATCATCTTGTTCTTAGTTGCCTGATTGCTAACACTATTTGGAATTTGAAAGATGGTGAGGAACCGATTGATTTTCCTATGGTTTCATATTTCTTTAATTGGTTGGGACAAAGTGACTCTTAACCAAAGTTTTGATGTGGTCATTCTTATAAGGTATTTGATGCTTTGGAGTTTTTGTAATAAAACATTACTTGGAACGGTGAAGCGTTTGAAAAAACGGTCATCTTTGACAATTTGTCTCTCAACCAATTTTTTGGCTCTTGAATAGGAATAAAATGTAATTTAAACAAGGTTGGTTGGACAATCCTAGTTTAGCCATTTATATTATGCAATGTTCCTTTATTCTAACGCCTTGGCATGTCGTTCTAAGAAAAAATAACTTTTGTAAATATAGTTAATGAGTGATTTAAGTGGTTCACCTCAAATTGGAATAAATTTATATAGTTAAAATGTTTTGTGATGGATATTTATCTTTAAATACATACATAAAACACGTATGAAATCAGAATGACACTTGTATCTATTTTCTTAAAAAGAAAAGTATCATAGTTAACAAATTTAGACAACACTTCGTTACAAAAAATTAATTATTGTGAACTATAAGATCCTAGTTTTTAATTTGCTTACATTTAACAATTATAAGATCCTAGTATTTAATTTGTTTACATTTAACAATTGTTTGTTTCTAATAAAAAGCAATAATTCCATTCTTTCCACTTTACACCCAGCTTTGTAAGCTCCATTCAACCAACTACCCACTACCCATGTCCCCTTTTATGATTTAATTCCAAACACTAGAAGATACAATCTTTCTATTATCCATTCCTTTTCATTGAATCATTTTGAACGATTGAACACGGATTCAAAGTATTATATTTTTAGAAAAATCTCGAAACATACTTTTCTACGTGTGTCAAGTTAAGTACAATAAAACATGTGGATCCATATCTAAGTTGCCTATATAATTCTTGAAAAGGATGTATCAAATCAAGAAGATCGAAGACCTTGTGTTGCGGGGCAAATGTTGCACTGCCGTTTACTCTGATGAGGGCATAACTCCTTTGATCCCGCATGATTTGTAAACTAGAATTAATGAAAGAATTGTGATGCTTGGTTGAACATAGGAAAAATTATTTAACTAAAATATTTAAACTTCTCACTTTTTTATTATAGCGACTCGTTTAAGAATCTTGTGACACTTGATTAGGACAATCCACATATGGTTGAAGTATTTGGTGTGATCCACCACGTGGTGTTCCTTCTTTCCCAATGCAATATTTGTTACAATGATTTGGACAATTGTTATGGGCGCAATTGAAATTGGGAAGGGACAAAGGATGGTGGAAGTGTATGTGCCATGTGATGACTTAGATTTGTTCTCCTTTTCAACTTCAGTGTTTATCCTTTAATTTCAAAGTACAAACAAAGGGAAAACTTTACCTTCCTTAGGAAATAGAGATGGACCATTTGGCATCTTTATAAGTGATTAAAGCAAACCTTGAAAAGCATATTAGCGATATTTGACTTGATAATAGTTTTTTTTAAACATCTAAAATTTTATAAAAAAACAACCTACTAGCAAGGAGTTAGAGGAACGAAAAACCTATCAAAAGAATTAATCACAATTGTCTCAAAAATAATACTTTTTTTTGATGCTTTGGTACTGAAAAACCATGTTGTTTCCATACCTCCATAACATCCATATCGTTGTCAATACAATAACTTCAAGCATCTTTCGCTTCCGCATCGTCACTCGAATCGAATAAACGCAAATACATTAATAGTTAATGTTAGATTTTGGGGTCTTAAGAATATCAGTTTACTTGGATATTTTTAGGATCATGATTGCAATCACTTTCGAAAATTTGTGATTTCGACTCTATAACATGGGGTATCATCAAATCAGATTTGGGATAATCCAAAGAATGACAATTCAAAAGTCCTACCACTTTTAAATCTGAAACACAGAAAAATACCTTATTTATTTGTGTTCTTAAAAAGATAGGTAGAATCAGAAGAATGATTTTCGAGAGTATCTATGTTCCAACCGAATTTTGGAACTTCAATCATCCTTAAATAGATGATAGAAAATCGGTTGAAAGTTGGTTGACGGAAGTTACATGCATTTGGCGCCAAAATGAGTTGGTTATTATCACATAACCAACTCATGACATCATCATGATATCAATACTAGTTTTGGCGAGAATTTGAATGGTTGGACCCTTTCCAAATATAAAAATTTGTTTAGGTTTCGGGCGTTGCCCCTAGACCCCCCAAGGGGTGCAACCCCTTGGAACACTGCACCCAAGGGCTCTGCCCCTTGGCCCCCGTATTCCCGAGTTCACATTTATCACTCTGAGTGCGCACCCTCACCTTCTATCTTTGTTAGTAAATGGAGCTCAGTATATCTCAATATTAATAATAATAACTACACTAAAATATGTTAATAACACTAAAATCACCAACAGTTAATGGGGAGGGAAGATCCATCCACTTAGCAATCTTCAACTACACCTGGTTTGCTACATCACACCCCACAAACACTTGATTAGTATTTAGGGGTGACAATTCTCGACACAACAGGAACCAGACACGATAATAAATAGGTTCGACTTGAGATTTCTGACCCGCTAACCAGCAAAATAAGCAGATAGTGTTTGGGTTAGTTATTGGATTCAAGGTTCAACCCGCCAACCCGTTTAATTTTTTTTAATTATTGTTTTAATTTTTTTAAAGGGTATTGTCGTTTTAAAGTAGACTCCCTTGGATGTGCTTCACCATTAGGTGAAGAGACATAGACATTTTGCCTTACATTCACAAACATTGTTGCATAACCTCTCTTGGCCACCCTAAAATGAGTATGAGAAGATTTGAACCCAAAACCTCCTTATGGGAAGATTCAACATATAATATATTAGATTTAAGTTATATGATTATGTGTATGACTCCACCTATTCTTTTATTCTCCTTATTTATTTCATTCTCCTATTTTTTTTTCAATCCCTCATCAATTTAAATCCCCAGTTGCACCCAACCCATCTCGTTACTATTTACATCTATGGCAAGATACCACCACAACCATTCCACTGACACAAGTTAATCTCGTTGGATTGAGAATTCAATGTCATTAACAATTTGATAATATTTCTAATAATAGTAGGGTCCTTTTAGGTTGCCCTCGTAACCTAATTAAGCAACAAGGAATTACGATAAATAAGTTATTAATTTATTATCATTTGATAAATTAATCGGAAATTATTTTGGAAATAATTAAATAATTTTAATCAATTAAATAAGTTGAATATTAATTTATTCATTAGTAATTAATTAAGATATTCCATAAAATTCTAGAATATATAAAGGGATCGATTTTATCTAGTGATTAAAAGATATGAACTGATTCAAACAAAGATAAAGATTACTATTGGAAATTTGAATCAAACTAGAGATTATAAATAAACTGCTATGGGTCAAACCCTAATATTCTTTTTGCTTTTCAAAACTGTCCGCCTCCCCCATCACCTCTTTCTTATACGAGATCTATAACCCTCTTAGGATTATTGAGATTTTCGAGTATAACCTCTCTCATAAAGATCCTTGTGCTAGTTGGTGTTTTGAGTGTGATTCACAAGAGAGATTTATGGTTTGGGTCATTGTCATCTCTTATAAGTGTAGCTTTCACAAGATCTCAATCGAGAAATCAATAAGAACCAAATGTTAGTAATTTCGTTGTTTTAAAGTAGATTGTTGCTATAGTAAAAACCAAGATATTTAGTATGCATGTACATATAAAGTTGAATTTGTTGCGTACAAATAGTGTGTATAGATTGTATCAAATCCCAACAAACCCTTATCTCTCCCTTATTCTCTTAATGTCACTCTTGCTACTCCCATGTCGTCTATTTACTGACATTATATAAATGAGTTATGATTACAATTTTTTTTTGTTTAGTTATAACAAAAACAAGTCCTATTCATTTTAGTGGCTAATAGAAATTGGATCTTAGATTGCGGAGGTTGATTAGGTCCTGGAAGGGCATCAAACTCACCCATTTATCCTTTTTAGAGCGTTGAAAGTGATTAAATAATTGAACCTTTTGGTATTATTTAACACCAATAAACTTACAAAATCTATGTTTCAAAGGCGCAAACATGGACCCTTAGCTCTCATGTGGATCAAATGGGATAGCAAATGTCAGTTTGTCACTACACACAAAATTTTTGTTTATATGCCAACGTGGTTATTTGTAGC